TGGTGGTGGTGGTGGAAGTTATGGCGCAAGTGGTGGTAGTGATAGTCACGGACGTAAAAAACGAGATATTATGGAGCTTTTGGGTGGACATTCACTTCGTGAAAAACGCTCACTGGTGCGTATCATTAATTAACTGTAATCACTAATATTGCAATTAATTTGAATAAATAAAATATAATTTCAGAAAAATGGTCGCAAACGTACTGGCGTGAATATCGCTCAAATCAAAAAATCATCTAAAGGAATTAACAATATGGTTTATAATTTTACTACTTGAGATTTCATGTCATAGAGAGCTTCTAGAAGCCTAAAATATATCAGTATAAGTATACTTGAGTGTTACTCAACAGTGTCATTTACGATCATTATCAAATCACTTTCTTTACATATGTAATCATTACTTTTGTACATAAAAGGTACGTACGCATGTTTGCAGTCCCCCTACGACGAATATATTTTAAGTTGGCAACCTTTTAAGTAACGTTCATTTTAGGATTGCTGCTGCTAGCTACCTACTGCTTAACGTATACATCACAAAAGATTTATCAAACAATTATTGCCTTGAATATACATGCAAACGTCAGTTCTAACTTGGCTTGTACTGTCCTTAATTGCTTTGCTTGCTGTGCTGCATTTCTTTCAACTGTGATAACAACTATTTGTGTAGATAGAGCCGAATATTAAATACACTGTTCACTTAGCTTATATCATTAATATTAGTGTGAATAAACTCATAAACCCTTCGTTATCATTATCAGCGACTTTTCACGAGAAATGGGACGAATTATAGTCAGTGCTGGAGGTTACACGAATATTCATTTATTGTTTCATTACAAATGGTATACTGAACCAAACAGAAGCAAGTTATCGCAACAGTAATAGTAATAGATAATAATAAGATAGAAATTCCAGTGAAAACTAAAATAAGCAACGCTACTACTGAAAATAAAAACCAAGAAATAAATATGTCATTTTGCTACAGTTCAAAAACAACGACTTCTCCCCTCATGTATCGTTGCCATCTTAACAATACACTACTCATGGATTTTACCATTCCATAACCCGAAATCCTCGATTAAATTCGGCAGTGATGAGATATCACAAAAATGGGAGATGACCGAAAACACTAGATACAGTCATGCAATAAAGATGTGACTAGCAGAAGCAAAACTTTCAAAACATGAATTTAGCATGGTGATTCCAAACAAAAGTTGGACATTGAAAAAAAGTAGCAAATCAATTCTACATAAAATCTTTGCAACAAGAAAAATGAAGCACAGTTCATTTATTACATCTCTCAGCAATGATATAAAACAACAATACATATTTGAGAACTACAAACTAAAAAACTCTATCCTATTAAGCAATTATATAAGACACCTCTTAAAATTTAAGAACCGAAACGAATCATATATTAGATTTAAAGTGTTAATTATCAAAATTACAATTAGTATCATTCAAAGAGTACGTTAAAAGACAGTATTCACAATGAGACAATAAAGTGAATCTCAAACGAAGAAAGCTATATAAATCCCATTCTTCAAACCAAGTTGACACTTTAATTTTGAATGAATATACATATATCTTTTGAAAAGAATTGGAGATACATGTTTCAGACCACGAAAAACTCTACAATGGAAATTTTAAATTCATGATCATAATCAAACACACTAGTTCTTTACTGAAAGAATCGTTTTTAATCTTCGGTTGGACTAGCAGGAGAATCAGAAGCAGGCTCCTGAACCCCCCCTAGTTTCAAAATTGTTAGTGAATCTCCTGGAGGTAACTTCTGTTGTTCAATATTCATCACTGATTCATCCTTTGTTAAACTTTTAAAACCATCTGTTTCCTTCATTCTATACTGTCCTCCGGGAAAATTTTGGCTTGAGAGCAATAGTTTCTCATCACCCAATCGATTCTGTACAGAAACAATGCGCTCATCTTCCCGTTCCCTATCATCACTCCTATATCGTTTTTCAAAACGCTCTTCCTGATCAAACTCACGCGTTCCACCATATTTACGGTTATCAGGAGAAAAAGCACGTCTTTCTAAAGGAGTTGGAGATTTCGATCTGCAAGAATTTTTTAATCAGACTTGATGAGAAAAATGATTATAATTTATTGGCAACTTCAAAACTTTATACCAATTAACTAAATGCCAATGATGATCATTTCATAACAATCTTGAAAGGATAACCTTGATCTGCTTCTACTTTTCGATCTCGACCAACTTCTTCTGCGTCGTCTTTGATAGCGATCATAAAGACGACGGTCATGATCACATTCTCGATCTCTATCACGACCTCTATCACGATCGCGATCATAAAAACCTCTTCGAGTGAACGAAGAATTTCCACGCCCGCGTCTGAATTAAGAGCTAAACAGTGAAATCTTTTAATTCACAATGATCAAGCATAGTATAAAATTCTGAAAAGTTTTTTTTGTAGTTTGTATCTTTATCCCTTTTTCATATATCATTTTCGCACCTCCATCAATTACTTATTTCTTTTTTTCCAATATATATTCTTTGCTCACCTATATCCTCCATCAGCTACACCACGACGAGGGGGAATACCCCTAAATGATGAGTTACCCCGTCTGAATCCTTTTCCTCGTTCATCGCCATATCCATAACTTTGAGTACCTGCAGTTGGTTCATCTCCATGTGCAAATCTACATCGGAAACCATAACTGCATGTACCAGACTGGTAGAACGTGCATTGTTTGATTGCTAAAAAATAAGCTTTAGATGCAACAAGATCTGCAGAATATTTTTTTGACATTCTCACAAAACAGCTTCAGTAACGAGAATCTAATACAATAGAGACGGTAATATTATGCTTCTCATCTTGTCTCTCTATACCAATGTTAATTTTCCCAAATTTCGTCTAAGAAAAAGGATTGGCAGATAAGATACAGAATTGTGTGCAAAATAAATGCAATAAATTACGTGGACGCCCACAAGTACCATAAGACGGCGCTTCCGATGTAGATGGACCACTATGAATAGTTAAATCTACACCAACTGTCGGCGTCACACCTGCAGGAACTGGTCCATTCAAAAGTGGTTGCTGAGGTTGAATTGGTAACATAAACTGACCATTCGCTAACATGGGTGGCATTGGAAGCCTACAACAACAAAAAATCGACTTTTTACTGTACCGTTCTATTGCACAGAAGATCAGTAAACAAATCAACTAGTCATTGCCACAAATACAGAACTTATTAAAACTACTGAAAAACAAATAAATTGAATACCCTTGAGCAAAACGAGGAGGCGGTAAAGACATGTTAGGCATATTTGGATGCACTGTCAATTGAGCATATGTTGCAGTAGTAGTTGTATTAATCGCAGACATAGAACAGTCCAGAGATGATGCTGTTATTTCAGTAGTGGTAGTAGGAGCTGAAGGTACTTTATTCAGAATGTTGGCTAAATCACAGCTCGAACCAACAAGACCTTTTTTTTTCAATTCACTCATCAATTTCTGCAAAAATTCTAAATTTAAAAGATGGAAGTTAGTAATATAATACCGGTATCGTCTTCATAATATAAAAAGAATTGAGCATTTAAAAACATGACAAATATTTTGTTATCCGCTTAAGTAAACTGAATTAAGTAGATTGGAACAAAATAGATTGAACAGCAATGATTTCACGTACTTGAACATCTATTTCTTTCATATCCTCTTGACTTTGGTCTGGTAATATCCCAGTGGAGATAGTGGCATTCAAGACAGCTTGAGTAACATCCTGAAACTCAAGTTCTAATCAACGAAATTCGAAAACAAAAAGCTTGATTAAGAAAAAATAGAAAATTTATGTTCGTGACACAGAACCTCAATTTGATCATCATCTGTTGATTCAGGTTCTAATGGTATTTCAAGTGGTGGCAATATTGCTTCAACCGATAAATCAGGTTCTGCTTCGGCCAATTCAGCACATCTAAAATGCACAACATCTTTGGAAAATTTGTGATTTGTAAGTCAGGAATTAAAACACTGCAAACCAAATAATTATTGGAAAACATACAAAGAAGGGTCATAAAATGGCATCATGACAGTTTTTTGTCGTTCTTCTTCGATTTTTTTTGCTTCACTTAGAGAGCCTCGACCTTCGAAGCAGACAGCATTGTCAAGCGGTATTAGCTTCCACTGAAAATTTAAAAATTATATACGACGAATATTTGCAGACATTAGAAAGTCGCAATTTCCTGGCACACTAATTGAGATCGAACTGACTTAAAAATTCTCAGCCTTTTAAAGGATGTAATGGATTAAATACCAAACAATGCAGCTTTTTAATGTCTTTGATAAATAACGTTATTTTTGGGAGGCGAAAAATCAATTTGTCATTCTTCAGTCACTTCACTGAAAAATTGGAAACACGCATAGCGAACAGAATTTGATGGAACATACCAAAATGTGAGTGGTTCCTTCTATACGATTAGAATTGAATCCAAACTCAGTTGTATGTAAACTTCTTTGTTCTTTCATAAATGTTCGTTCACGTTGCATTTCCAAATGCTTCATGTCTTCAGACGATAATTTACTGACATTCACTATAATTCAAATATGAAGTATGCTCAATACAAATCAAATATTTAGCAGATTTACTTCAAAGTTGTCTATATATTACCTATTTAACTTCAAAATATTTTTTCTAGTAAGATGCACGCAAAAACCAATATGTAAATTAATATCATTTTAAAATATACCACATTTAAGACTGAATGAAGTTCAAAAAATCGCTTACGTCTTTCTCCTTCCTCTACTTCAAAATATCTGATTTCAACGAGTTCCTGTCCATGTTCATCAGCAAACCGTATCTTCCGATTACTACTCAATACAATATCTGGCTCTTCTACTACGTCATTCTTTTCACTCACTTCTTCATCTTGCTTTTCTTTATTGTCTTTATTCAGCGATTTCGATGTATCACTATATAACCCCTCCTAAAAACTTTTTTAATATACTACTTAGTCAAATGATTATGATTTAAAAACACCTGAAAGAAGTAGTTATATTAACAAGAAATTACCGAAATCCAAGTTTTTAAGACTAAAATATACTCTACAGCAATAAATTGCTCTATCAATTTAAAATATGTTGGAAAATTATTTTTTGTAGATATATGTTAAGAATAAAATTAATTGCACATAAAATAAATGCCGGAAGAAAACAAATTTCCATGCAACTGAAAGTTTCATACCATTACACTAGGCATAACGGAAGTTGGTGGTTTCGCACTAGGCGGTAGCCGTTTTTTAGCTTGTTTGGAGGGTGTTTTCTTATTTCCAGGGTCCATTAAAGCATCCATAAATGTATTGCTCATCATAACTCCTAGAAAATTAATGAGGTGAAATAAAATTCAGAATAATACATAACACCAAACACTTACATTAACATTACGAATTCTGGAAACAGAACTACCAATTCCGAAAGACTTCATTAGAAGAATGAACTGATTACGATACTTACTTGCAGGAGTAGTTGTCATGGACTTCTTTTCAGGTAAAGCTGAAGATGTAACAGGAGCACTTGATGGAATAATATTTGTCAGTACTTTGGATACATTTGGTGGCATGGCTGCAATAACGATAAATTCCAAACTATTCAGTCGTCAATCAATAAAAGTTTATGCAAAATATTACTTTCAGAAAATAATAATAAATGAAAAGTTAGTAGTACTGGAAACTTTTACAGTGCAGAACTCAAGTATTTAGCACATAGAATCTCTCTTACAATCATGAAAAAGAATTCATACCAGTACGCTTCTTGGCATCTAATAATCCTTTACTTGGTAGACTACCCTTCTTCTTGACTAACGGTGCTTTATTAGTAGAATTTTTTGTAGAAGCAACATCATCGTCTCCCTCTAATCCTGAAATTACTTTCATTATACTTTTTTAATAACCATGAAAGAGAAGAACCTAGCGGTGATTGCTTGCGATTGATGCTGCTGCTATTGCAATTTGCTATGAACTTTGGTGCAGTGACCTTCTGAACAGATAAACACTATAGATAAATCACAACGAATCCAATACTGTTCGATCTACCTATTCATGTTCAGCAAAGTTCACTTTCCAAGAAACAGCCTGAAGAACCGGAAAGTTTAAGTAAATTAGTTCTGAACTATACAACTCCTAAGAAACGATACTGCCTAATGTCTAAAATTATCATTTACGAGGTCACCCAAAAATGAAACTACTGCCGTGACATCCCACGTAACTGCTATGCGGTAGTATAGTTAGGGCAATCACGATTATAATCATTCAAGTCATCTTGCACGTCTTCATTCCCTTCCCATAAAGTTTAATGGATTTCATCTTCCTTCCAGATGTGAGGTTCGAGACTGTATACTTTTTATTAAATTCATTTCCGAAACATCGTTTCGATTCTATTTAACGTCAGTGCACTTCTAAATAACGATGCAAATATTGGTGGGGAAATATGTTTCCATATATCACACTGATAAAAAGCACTATGTTTATAGATAAAACAAAACTGAAGTCCAAATCACTCAAAAATGAACAGAAGTTTGGTAGGGGAAAATTATGAGGCAATAACAATAACAGCAGCAGCAATACGGCTCGTGCAATCACCGAATACCTGTTGCGTGCAATGATGAAGAATCCTGAAATTTATAAAAATTAACAAATACACAACTGCGCGAAGTACTTGTGAAAAATCTGGCTGGCATCCTTATACTAAATGTGTAAACTTTTTTCGTCCTAAGCTGATTACCAAAAAACAAAAATAGTAAATACTTTTTTTCAAAAAGCAGCAATCAAAACCGTACACTACACGCATCAGATCCTTACTTGCTATCTTCTTAATTAAAAATGATAAGAACTGACTTTAAATGTATACATATACTACGAAAGGAACTATGCTTAGCATATAATAATTATTTATATCAATATCATTTCCATTATTATTAAAGCTAAAGAATGAAGTTATGTACTATCAATTTCAGCCTTTTGGTAGGATTGAAATTCTTCTAAATAAAACCGTTAAACAAAGTATTTGACATACACTTATACCCAAAATTTCTTATATGATAAAAAAGATTTGTCGTTTAGTTGCAGGTTGAAATGAATCCAAGCAATAATACACGGCACTTTTCTCTTGATTTAGATGAATTATGAAATAGAGATGTGAGAAACATTTGAAAATGGAACTTAACCAGCACAGTACCTGTTGAACGGAATTTCGAAGTATAAGTTTTGGCTGTTTTCGGACGTGGTTTTTTTTCTTTCCTCCCTTCACCCAGCTTCTCGAACATGTTGAATTCATTTAACTTTTCAGATACAACTTTGGCGCTTTCACTTGACTTTTCTGCTTTGTTTACTTTGTTAGTGACAATTTTAAGAGACGAAATTTTCACAGGTTTGTTCACACTAGTGGACGCTCGATCCAGCTGTTCTGAACATTCACTATTTAATGACTTATTTTTGGTCTCTACTTTGCTCCCGGAAACTTCACTTCCCTCTGATTCTACCTCTTCTTCTACATTCTTTGAAATGTCTTGCTTCTCTTTTTTTTTAATTTTATTTGCACTAACAGACACCGGATGAGGTGTTTTTCGTTTTGCAGACCCAACTTTTTTTGTTCCTTCTGATGATTGCGGTGGCGGTGTGGCTATCAAGCGTTTCCACCGTAATACTAAATCACCCGATACTTTACGTACATCTATAAAACATTCTTTTTAATACAAAATGAAACTCATATAAGACAAAGAAACAAACAGTACAGAAAATGATAAGAAATTCGTTTCTATTCACATAATACTTGAGTTCTCACTCACCTTGATCAGGACATGTTTTAGACAATTTTCGTACAAATCTTGGAGTATCGTTTGACTGCAGTAAATCCAACGTCAGGTTCGCCTTAATCAAAAAAACTTTATCAAAATACAAAAAAGCTGAATAAAGCAAAATTACATATGAAAAAATTAAAAACAGAAAAAAACTTTAGTCGCTTTGTGGCAAATTTGTACGCGAAAGCTGAGCAATATCAGAGATCACTGACAAATTAATTAGCCCTTACACGGTACAATTAACCCTTACACTATATATCTTAAAAAATAGTAACTACTGATATAACATAAAAAAGTTCTGTTGGTTAATTTCTTATCTTTCGTAATGGAAAAATCTCACAAAATCAAACCAATGCTACTCTAAAAAACTATTAATAATTTTGCTCGACATATTGAAATCGTATGAATTAAAATCTATAACTTTTTTGCTAGTGGAAAAACTGCACCATCTTTAAAACAAAGACATATAATTTAGCAACTGCATATGTGAAACTAACTTGTGCACATTGACTTAATAATAATTTCAAACGATTCCAGTCTTCACTAGCTTCTGCAGCTTTCAACCATGATCCCATTTGTTTCCATCCAAGAGGCGTACTAAAGCGTTGGATAGCAGCAACCTGCGCAGCCACTGTCGAATCACTAAAATAAAATTCCTGCTTTACTTACTGATAAAAATAAAAGTCAATTTTTTCGCTTTTAAAAAATAAGATCACATTTATTATGTTACACTGAATATTTTTAATCACTACTGATGACAATAAGAAAAATAAAGATTAATGAGTACCTTAAATACGAAATTATGATGTTCCAGAATATATCTTACTCTTTATAGTCATAAAAATCTGAAAAACTAACTCCATGAGAACAAACTATACCTTATTTTGCCTGTTCCTTCATCTTCTGATACCACTGTTTTTCTTTTTGTTTTTGGAATACTACTACTGGTGCCTGAAGATGACGGTTGTCCATCTTGCAAATAATGCTGCTTATGACGCTGTAAAATTTATCTATAATAATTAGTAAATGACAGTAGTTGGAATGTATAACATGAATACTATTTTAAACATTTCAATTTGACAAAATCTAACTTTTTCCTCAAGAGCTCTTGCGACGATTTCACGTGCTACAGCACGATAATTTTCACTGCATGAGCTGCTTTCAGGACCATCTCGAAGTGGTCGAGACGTAGACGAGATTGGCTGACGTAAGAAGACATAACGTGGTTGTGTACTACTTTCCACAACACGATATAGCTAAAAAAATTTAAACGTTTGCATTAAGTAAATCACAGATAATCTCCTGTTCTAACGTCGTAAGTAACCTAACTATAGAGCAATGATATTTACAGAGACAAATATACCAATGCTGAAGTCAATGTCTTGAGATAAAAATGAAACTCGAATACACTTAGAACGGTAGGAATTAACATAATAAAATGAAAAGCTAGCAGATTAGTAAGCTGCCACAAAACGCACTGATCTCTGCTGCAATTTCGAACTTCTTGGTCGCACAGATTGTAAAGCGTATATTGGTTGACCTTCCACTGTATGTCCAACAACAGTATACTGCAAATTGTACAGTTATCACAATATAGATGGGATTGAATCTAGCAACAATTATTGAAATACTTCCACTTTATACAGAAACTCGTTTATTCTATTTACTTGCCATGTCTTTTGCGTGTTTGCATACATTTTCAACATTAGCAAAAGCCAAATGCAATGACAACAGACTTTACATTGCAAATTCAGTATGTACTGATGGCTTCCAAAACTGGATGCACAGTATGCCACAGCAATCCAAACTATATTCTCATTTATACTGGAATGCCTGAGGTGGTACTGTTTACATGCTCAGTGTCATTTAAACATGACTGCCCTCATCTCATTTCGTCAAAGAAGTGTCCCACACTAAAATCAACACTAAGACAAGCGTGAAACTACCACTTCCCGAAGTTCACGTAAGTAGAGTGAAAAAGTGAAATCAAGTGGGAAGCCATTAAGTCATATTGAAATTGTGCAGGAATATGACGTTTTTATTAAAATTTTGATGTTTTCGAAAATATTTATTGAATTCTTCCATTGTTGTTTTTTCACAAAATTGTTTCCCTCTGCTACAGACACCCTGTCATTCCTAGTACACACAAGCTAGAAAGATATCACAAAGCTGAATTATTAAAACTAAGACATATTTATCTGGAGGACTTTTAAACAATCTTGTCCTCTATTCACTTATTCATCCTCGATAATACAAACTTTAACAGATCACATATTTAATCTCTCTACATTTCATGGAATAACCAACTGCACTTCACATCATATGCCATTTATTGTTTGACATAAGACCCACTATTAAAATGATTTTGCACAATTTTACCAAGTAACACATAGGGACCACACAACCGAAATCACACAAGTAACAACCATTATGGTCACCTTCGTTTCAGCTCTTGACCATGTTTCAGAGTTATTTTGCTTCCACTAGCATGTTTTCGTATTTACAAATTCCGTATGTGCAAATCTAGTGTACATAATTTTCCTGATTTCATAGAAATTGCCCTTTTTCAACTGTACTGCTTGGTTCCATTATACTCTCCATTTTTGTAACAAATGTAGAAATCAAATCAGAAAAGATTCTAATACGACCAGAAATAAGTTGATGGTACTTGTCAGGTTGCGAATGCAAACGATCAAAATGTTGATCGTTGTAAATGGATTGCAAAACAGAATTTCTCAAGACATAAAGACGAATGCTTTTTATATTATCCTGAATATGAAGAAGAGCACAGCAGCTTGCAATACTCTATAGAATGGGATGCAAATCTACTGCCCGAAACAATATGTTTTATGCAATCCAAGGTGATCATTCGAGCATTAGGCTCGAGTCCAAGTATCCGATCAAATTTATACAAAATGGTAAACAAGATGTTACTACCAACCCTATTGCTTTCATTAGATATAACTTTTGGTTCTTGCAATCTTTGCTGAGATTCATAAAAAGTTGTTTCTCCTTGTTGATCTGTTTGACTTCCATATCCCAAACTACCAGGACGTATTACAGATGATGCCCCCCTGGACACAAAATATTCCGGCATTCCACCAGAAATTTCTGTTGGCGAGCTTGTAATTGAATACTCGTGATAACTGGGTATCAGCTGATGTGGATCATCGAATACCTAAAGCATAAAATATAAAGCGTAACTACACAATGCACAAACTGCTTCTTCGTTACATGCAAATGTACTCCTTACATTCTAGCCTGCAATTCTGCCATAGATGTTATCAATATCAAAATAAAATGCAAGAAGAATTATGCACTATTGTGAGCTATGCTTACTGTCAATTCTTGATTAAAAAAGAAAACAAAAAAAAAAAACCCTTATTATGTGTTACGACTGACACCATATCTTGATTAAAAGTTAAAGACAGAAGACAAAAGTAGCATCAGAATTTGAAGAATGGATAATAACAGAAATATTTTCACATCTTACTTATATAGTAACAACCTTATAAGTATGAAATATTACTTCATAAGGGAATTTACAAAAATTTAGAAGTAATAAATTAAGACAACTACAAAGACATACACTGATTGTGCTAAAAAATTTATATGATACGAATCAAATGTTTGAACACTGTGAATGATTGAATGATAAATGTGCTATACAATCTGCATTAGAGAGTAAATTACATGATTATAAAAATAAAATACAAATACTAATATCAGGCCATATATTCATCAGAATTATAGACATACATAATGCCATGCAAAATGTGCTGCAGATAATTCCATTTCAAAATATATTTCATAAAAGTCTTTCTTTCAAACATTAATTGCAACTGATAAAAAGTTTCCAAAAGTCAATGGCAATGGCAGTCAAAAAGGCATTTTGCATTGAGTTCCACACTATTACTACAAAAAGATAAAATGGTGCAGATTGCAAAAAATAAAATAACAAGGATTTCTTAGGGAATGCTGATCAAGTTTGCATGATCACTAATAAAACATATTAAAAAAATCAAGCAGATTTTCATATAAACTAATGAACTAAGAATGAATTGATAAACATACTTCTCTGTAGTGGTAAGAATCTTCAGATGCGTCATCAACATCTGCAAAAGACCGACTTGGAAAGTTTCGTTGTCTGTGTGCTGAAGCAATTTCATTTGGAACTTGCCCATAACTCTGTAATATTAAATTATATAGTGATATAAAAATTGCAAAAGTGTTCAATAATTGATAAGTTTTGGTATAAATTTGCAAGCAGTAAAAAACCATTATCTCAATCCCAATTATGAGCAAAAAGAAAATTCCTTCACGTATTTTCAGATTATGATTGTAACGCATTTGCTGGAAACAATTACAGTTTCATTGCAATACAGCAAACCTCACATTCCATTAACAATTCATATTACATAAGCACCAAAACAAGGACAAAAATAAATATGCAGTACGACAGAAAGTAAATAACAAAAATTGTTACATAAAAGTATTACATTTCGCTGAGAAGTGCCATAGAATGTATTTGATGGAATGCCTCTTGTAGAAGTAAATGTCTGCTTCGAATGATCAGAAGGCATGCAAGAAGGAGAATGCTGGAAATGAGATGAATGCTGATGGTACTGAAAATCCTGCTCATCAACATCACCATTATCATCATCTTCACTTGGTTCTTCTTCCTGTAGAAATTGAGTAGGTAGGGGTACAAAACGACGAATTGGTTCACTATCAGGCATTATTAGTACCCGCAATAATCTGCAAATAATAATAATAATATTAATTATTATAAATTAATATAAGTAAATGTCCATACGCAATAAATGACATCAAACACGCATAAAATAAATAATAACAAGAGTAATGCGCAGTAGTACAAAATAATTTTGTAATCTTGCATATGAGCAATTACTAATCTTTGTCATCCCATCCGTCTCTCATCTTACACTTTTATCTCTTTGCACTGCAATTAAGTAAACGAATATTATGCATAATAAATAATAAAAGAAGATCACACTCCAACTCCGTATCTCATTTATTGCAACACAATCAAAGGATGAATAAATTATGCTATCATTGTTGAAGTCCCTTTAATGCACAAATTATGCTACGAGTATTTTTCATTTTTCCATTCATTCTATTTATTTTCATCAATTTATGCTAATTTTATTAATTACGCTTACTTCGTTATCAAACTTTACACATTGCTGTACACATATTCGTAATAATGCCAAATTGTGCTGCTAACTAAAGCAAACGAAACAAACCAAATGTTACAGTTGATATAGAAAATCGATGGTGGAACGAAATAATGAATAGATGCACTCGCTGATTGCTCGCTTGCTTACATAGATAGATAGATAGACAAATAGATAGATAGACAGACAGATAGATAGATAGATAGATAGATAGATAGATAGGTAGGTAGATAGATAGATATATAGAGAGTTAGATAGATAGATTGGCAAGCAGGCAAACATTGTGAATGTGAACTGGCACGAGCAAGAAACGCTCTTACCCCACTAAATTGTCACCTCCCTTTTCATTGCATTGTCTATGCATGTCTTACTACCGTAATCAATCACGTACTCGATATACACATATACACACAGACACACATACAAAACGCACACATGCGCACACGCACACGCACACGCACACGCACACATGAATACAACGCGCTCGAACACACACGCATATGCCCTAGCCAATCAATTCATTTGTTCTGCTTACTTCTGAAACTATCCTTTCTTCTTTCTCTCGCGCGTAATGCTTCATTTTATGTGCTACATTTAACTCTATCGCTACTCTTCCATTTTCACCACGTCATCCTCCGTAACCCTTCGCCCTCACCCCATCCCTTCCATCTATCTTTCCATACTAGTAATCAATTATTCGTCATACTACATGCATGTACATACTTATTATTTATTAGTACGACTGTCTTAATTATTATCAATCACTTATTGACATAATAACTTTACTAAAACAAATACGTTTAATAACTACAACAAGTAGCGCCCATACTGTTAAGCACTCAATGATCGATATATGATTTTTGACTTACTCCTAATTCAATTAGTAATATCAAGCAAACACGTAAAAATAAATTAGTCCATACTATCAAATATTAGTCTCGAAATATAATTTGGTAGAGTTAGTAATTTAAATGGATAATAAGTGCAATAATATAAAAAACAAATCCAAGTAAACAGAGTCGCAATTAATTAAGTTTGCAATAAGTCCTTATTACGTAAGCTCTTCTCCAGCTCGTGAAGACAGCACTCTCAGCACAACTCAAATATCCGTTTACTTCAATAAAGAAATTTTCATTTCGTCCTTTCCACTTTATGGCATTAAAAAAATTATAAACACATTATCAAAAATGCCATAATGAAAAGCTTATAAGTAAATTTAATTTATGAATTGCATCACACAACTCTCTTAGGTCAATCAAAAAAGCCACGCAATGGAAATGTCAACATATCGCATAATTGGTCAAGTAAGCATATTTATGCAATTTTGTCAGTTGTTAACCTTTTAAGCAGAAAACAATCACTGCTGATCAATTCATTCGATCATTCGATTTGTTTATGAGTATTTCCACAGATCAACACAATTACATTCTTCTAATTCCAAGTGAATATGACAAAATGACCTTACACTATAGAAGCATTTACTATGTTGAAGATAGCAGCTATTGAGTGAATCAGTGAATTAACTACTGATTACTTAGCTGAGCACAGATAATTAATAAATTGATCAACCATCACAGAACCTTTATTACACACCAGCAGCATTTCTGGGAATTCTTACCAAGTACACAATTACAGAACTCAACTAGCGGTCGACTAAATACCCACAAAAGGATTATAAAATTTAAATAACGATTTCATGCAAAAAAATGTAAATATTGGTCAAAAGTAAGATGATTGCTTGCTGTTTCAAATGATGATAAAGTTTGAAATTAAAAATCTCATCTCGATTAAAAGCAATAAATAATGCTGCGTAAATGAAGTGCAAAATAATTCCGAGTAATTTAAAACCTTTTCAAATTATTCTATGCAATACTTTTTTAGAAATAAAGAATTGCCTCAACACTTCATATCCGTCAGTAGTGTCAGAATCACTGAAATATATCATATCATATCATATCACTAGTGCTACTACGAGATAAAGTTAGATCAATACTAAATACAATAATATAACTATAGCTAACTGTAAATGCAAGTATACAGCATATGACGACAGCTTATTACTAAGCTTTCTGCTCAAAATATAGATAATTAGCAATTACTTTTCGTCTATTTCACTGAAATAAATGTATTAACTTTGCAATAATTTATGGATGATATTTGAAGCAAATAATTTAGATTCTAAATGTTGTTCAGGATAAAAAAAGACTTCTGAGGAAAGCAAAATGGCTTGATGATTAGATCTGATAATGTTTGCATAAAATACTAATTAACTTAGAAAAATAAGACTGTAATCCATGCATGCATTTTAGCTAAACAAGAAAGCAGAAAGATTACTGAGAAGAAATATAACTTGTATGTAAGTAAAAATTAAAAAATACCAATTAGAGCATAAAAAGTAAGAACAAGTTTATTAATTTTCATGGCTGTGAAAACTAAAATTTCTCGCTTTAGCAAACTTTAATTGAAAAAGCTAATGAAAATCTGTGTCAGTCAACTACAGATGCCACTACATTGTAATTCAAATAAATAATCTCGTTTGCTTGTTTATTTATTTCTCAAATTATCAAATATTTTTTTAAACTTTTCTCAGTTATTTTTTCACTTCAAATATCCATTTAGCATTTAATAACTGTGCATAAGCAGTCGCTCTATCTGTCCTCTCTGTTATTCTTTCATTTTTACAAAAATTTAAAATTTACGTGAAAAGCTACTAAGTAACAATTGTATAAATACTACTAACTAGCCTATCTTTTCCATCTAATTGCTTTCTTAAAGTAAAAGTAAATTTATTGCCCGTAATCTAATATATTACTATGTAGTAATGTTACAAAATTAATAAGGATAACACTTAATGCACGTATAGATATTAATAACTTATGCATGATTAAATTAAAATTATCACTTCGTTTTTTGTAATTAATATGCCATTGTTTATATTTTCATTACATAAATGTTATTTTCAATGCATTTTATTTACAATAATAATATATAATAATAATAATAATAATAGTAATAATAATAATAATAATAATAACATAAATGATAATAATAATAATAATAATAATAATAATAATAATAATAATAATAATAACAAGCTAAAAATATGGAAGGATAAAAAGTAAGGTGCTGTCTCGATAATCCTTCTCAACTCTTAACTCGCTTTTTATCCTTCACCACTTTTTTCCAAAAATGATATCATACTAATTGCAATACGTCAAACAACTACCAAACCATATATATTTATAAATATGCATTTCAAACGCTAATCTCACAACGCACAAAAAAATTATGATAATTTTTATCTTGTCTTTTTGCAACGTACTATAAATAATTCTTATAAGAAAAGGGTACAAAATAACTATAACTATAACTATTATTATTATTATTATTTAAACTATTATTTATATTATTTTATTTATTATTTAAACTATTACTTATATTAACTAATATTTGAATATTTATAAAGCTGCTGTTTTTTTAACAATACATTTCATGATTGACTGTATACAAACGTCTAAATTACGACAAGAATCATGTATATATATATGATTCTTCTCGTAATTTACACAATTTATGAAGTAATACTAGAGTAAAATTGTAATATGAAAGAAGTATTAATCTCATTTGTTTTTTGAATAAAAATATAACAGCAGTGAGTAAAAGTGGAGTAACTTCGTTAAAATGAAAAAATTTGCAGTAACTTCGTTACAATGAAAAAAGACTGATAACGTAATCAGTAACACAATAATTCTCTTATTCAACTAAACAAGTAAGTATGTAAGTAAGTAAGTAAGTAAGTAAATAAGTAAATAAGTAAGTTTCTGCATTACTGCTGAATTCGATGAAGCAACAGTAGCAACTATGAATGCACATTTTTAAATTCATACAAAGTATAGAAAGAAGAACAGCTTAAAAAATGAAAGCGAAACAAGTCAGATATCAAGATTTAAGCAGATTCATCATAATCCTAAAGATTATTATCATCACTAGTGATAAAAAAAACATCAATAAAGTGCTAGTAAGGAGCTGTCAATTGCAGATGCTGTCAAAAAAAAAAAGATGTATATGTGTAGATACATTTAAGTATTCAAGGATATAGAAGAAGTTAGCAAAGATGATGCTTGTGAGTAAATTTAGTACTAGTTATATTTTGTGTGTAATGCAGTAGAATATTTGTTCGTAATACTTTTTTTCTACTAAATTAAACTTTCATTTAGATAAACAATTAAAAATTAATTATACCAACAGTTATTTCATTTAATTGCTTACTTAATAACTAAAAATACAATAAAAATGATGACAAAAAAGAACAAAATTTTAATACAATATGTAAAATTTTATTCGTTAACAATTTTAATTCTATTCACCACATTTGTTATTATGTATTTAAGTCTGAATCACAAATAAGAATAATTTAATTCAATTCAAAACGCTACAATTTATTAGCTCTAACATTTGCTTCCTTGCGCTCTTTTAGCTCAAAAAATGCCTGACATTTAGAGCAAATATCTGTGCGACATTTTTGCAAGATTTTAACGTCTGTTTTACTTTTTATTTGAATTATTTCAAATTTCACATTTATATAAACTCTTAGACTAACACAAATAATTGTTCAAATTCCTATCATATTTTAACAAAAAAAAAACCGTTTTTTTACATGAATTTTTAATATTATCTTTGCTGCTAATCTTTACTACCTCTTTACTACTACTACTACTACTACATCTGTACTATATTTTCAGCTATTTATAAAAAATAAAAAATTGAAAAGCTAAAAAAAATTATCAGCAATATAGTATTTAAGCAATTTATTATTATTATTATGTCAATAATTTTAATTGCAGCACAGTAAAGATAAAGTCTATATTAGCTAGCAATTTTAGCATAATTTGAATAGATGTTTATAGACTTATTATTATTTTTTGTTGAGTTTAAAAATTATTGAAAATAAAAGTTTACTCCAACTTTATTGATATTTTTAAGCTTATAAAAAAGTAAAAGTATGCAAAATGTACCAAATTTCAAGCAAATATAGACCCGATTTATAATGCATTACCTTGGAATTATGGAATTTTTATTTTTTCTTTTACTTACTTCCTGCAAACATTCTAATTATTCCATAGCCATTCTCACAACAGCCAATTCAATATTTGCTTGGTTAACTTGACTAAAATTACCACTCTACAAGCACAAAAACTAACTTATCATGCCAAAACATCCAGTAAACTGGGCCTATTCCTCAATTCTTATTCATTCTTCTAATACTTACTTCTTCACAAAACCTCATCATTCTTCTTCTTCTTCTGCTTCCCTCGCATTACATCTACATTTTCACTGTAAAACAAATTAGACAATATGCAAATATCAATGCTTGCTTATTTATGCTGAAATAAACAGCATATATTACACTAATTAAATTGATTAATATCAACGATATCAAAAAATTAATCACTTTCTAATATTATTATCATTTCAGTATATGGAAGAAAGACGACAACAAAGAATATATTCATATCACAACAAAATATTTTATTCATTTTTATTCTGATAAATTCTAAATATTATTATGTATTTATAATCAAGTATTAAAAAATAAAATGATAGCATTAATTGCTAAAATTTATTAATGACAAAAAAATAAATACTTATACTTGATAATTTGCATCGTTTTTTTCTTACTTTTATTATCATCATTCAGCAGACTGATATATCCGCCAGCATTTAATTCAAATTTTTACTGGTATTTATTTTCATGAAAATTATACATTCAAACTGGCTTCAGTACTACTGAAATTTCTTCGTAGATTTACATCACTTATAATTACGATATTATTAAGTAAGGCAAGCATTTTGCTAGCTACTGTAATGATAATTTCCTACCTCGCTCGAACCGTACTACTACTACCCGAATTATCACAATCTCAAACGGAACATTTAGCAAATATTATTGAAGATCAAAAGTTTACCGGTATATTTTTTTAGTACTATATTACAAGTAGAAAGTAAGCGTGTCTTATTGTATTTTCACACGTGTAAGAAATTAGCAAAATCTTGAACGTAAAATTTCAGAAAAAGTAAATTTTAACAGAATGAAGAATGAATTTATTTCTAATTCATTTAAATGACATATTAATTTTTACTAAATGAGTGCCAAAACAATATTTTATGCAATAATTGCTAGTATTCATAATTGCTTTCAGATTTATCCAAGTGTGAAAGCAATATGCAAATACAAAAATAGACATTACAATAATAATAAATAATTATTTGCATATTATGAAAATATGATTAATTACAATTGTTTTTTTTTTTTGAAATTTTCACTACAATCTGTTATTAGTAAAATTTCTAATGATTGAAAGTAACAATTATTATTGAGGTGAACAATGGAAATGGATAAGCAATAATGCATTTAACAGGCATAAATCGTGTATACCTCTAAATGGCAAATTACGAAAAAAATTAATTCAGGTAAGAAATAGTACAAAATTTTAAATATAAATTTGTACTAAAAATACCCATGTATATACTGTAATCAGTAGGCTTTGAGATTATGGTAAATAAAACATCCCAGCAAAGATTTTCCATTATCTATAAGAGTAATATAGTTTCATACGTGAGAGAATACTTCATTACAGTCATTATAATCGCTTACTATTTATTGTAATAACATTTTCTTACGAATTAAAAAATATCATTTGGTATATTTTTACAACTCAGCAACAATTTTTTATTATTCATGCATTTCATGATTTGAAAAATCAGCCACAAATTGTGAAGTTAATAACGCTTGGCAAAAATACAAGTGTAGAGCTAGCTTGTAAATATTATTTCTACTTTTTCATCACGTAGGAAAAAAAATTAAAAATAAATTATTACTTCAAATTATGATTACAATTAGTATTCGTCAATATTTCTCCAAATTCATCATCAATCATTATTATGCAAAACATTACAACATACTTAATTATTACTTTACATGATAATTAATTGTGATTACAGTTCGAAACAATTAAAAAATTATCAAGTAAGCAATTTAGAAGGTTACGCACTTATGTAAATTAATAATTTTGCGTTTTCGATATATTCTAAAATTTAAACTAACAAAATATATGTGATAATTTTTCGTTTTTCTTTTTGAAAAAGCAAAACTGATGTTTTATATTGAAGAAAAGTGTTTTTTATCGCTTTTATTACACTAAAAAGTGAAAAAAAACAATGCTGCCAATGAATGATTAAAAGTATTAGTTCTTATGTGCATGAAAGTGATCAATGCTCCAAAATAATCTTTGGAGCACAGACCAAATTTGCTCCAAAATATATTATTTTTGAATAATTGCTAATAAAAAATTTAAAAAATCTCAAAGCCTACTAATTACAATTTATTTGAAAAGTAATCAAACTGAACAGTAAGTACCAATATTGATATGAAATTTGAATGATACATATTTTATGACTGTGTTACTCAAAATTATTATATAATAATAATGATAAATTTTAATTTTTTGAACTTATGAATAAAATAGTAAGTATTGTCTGTTGTTTCATTACTTTATTACATTTATTTAATTACTATTTTGCTCAAAAATTAATTAATTAAATGATTTGGTAAAGGATTTTATTTATCACTTCTTGTCTAAGCTTACTTCCAATTGCACTCATATCCAGATTTTTCTTTGCTTTTTTAAGATAAAACATATTGTTATTAAGTAATAATCCACCCAGTATTTTGAATATTCTATATTTTCCTAAAATAAATACATCAGTGCAAGCTTAATCTGCTCTCAGCACCACAGAATGTTAAAAAAATGCTAAACAATTAAGCTTATTAATATTTTTAATTTACAATAAACGAGAATGTTACTTACTTTCTTCTCAATTAAAAATACAAATTTAAATAGAAGTAAGCTATAGTAAATTGATATGTGACGAACATACAGTGTTTATCACGATATAAATATAACAGAATAATTAATACAAACTAATCCTTTCTAACTTTAATTTGACAAACTAACTCTGAACTAAATATGCTCTAATTCATTGATCTGAAAAACAGTTTATTTTCAGTTCATTGATCTAAAAAACAGTTTGTTTTTAGTTTACTGATCTGAAAAATAGTTTATTCTTAGTTCATTGATCTGAAAACGAGTAGTTTCAAATCGGATATATTTGTATTGAAAATAAGAACAAATCATTACAAATAACAGTGCTTTATACTTTAGCCAAATTAAAAATTTAATAGCTGTCTATTGAGAAGAAAACAAATTGCTGACTTTTAAATTACTAAAAATGCTTAATTTATAAATGAAGGATTTATTTGATGAGAAGACTTACGACAAAAATACACTACCAACGGATAATGCAACTGAAGTGGTAGTAGAAGTAACCGTACAAAGTATAACAGAAATCAGTGAAATTACGAGTAGTTTCAAAGCGGATATATGGTTTAGTCAAATTTGGCACGATCGCCGACTTGATTTTAGGGTTCGATAAATTTTTAACTTTTATAACAACTAATGTAGAAAATGTTCTTATGAAAAAGTTTGATAAAAAAATTACTGTAATATTATTTTCAGCATTTTAACTACTGTCTAACGAACTTATCCTTGGCTGCTCATAAATTACCTCACTTATGGACACCCAACGTTTGTGTTGTTAATACCAAACAAGTAACAGTGCATACGTCACCATCACAAAATATTCTTCTTATTATCTTCCCAAATGGAACTATTTGGCTAAACTACAGGTTACAAGTTTATAAGCCACCTATTACTTAATACTAAATTTGAATGCTTGACTGTTATTTTTGGACAAGCTATCAAATACAATACACAATATTTCAAATTATAAATTATACTTAAAATGCAAATATAAATTATCAAATCAATTTTTAAGAGCTCTGTAATAAAATTGACATAAAAGCAATACTATTTGCATTTTGAAATATTTGAATAATTACAGGAAAGAAAAACTATTATTCCTGTAATTCCATTAAATTAACTTGAGCAAAATATTTTAAAAGTGCCATTTTTGTCACAAAAATAAATGTACAGAAAGTCTACCTCTCAAGCGCTGTGTTAAAAAAAATATAAATTTGATCTACCCTATAGAGTTAGTTCATCAGAAGAACTAATATATTCTTGATTACTTAATTTGTGATCTCAAAAAATACAAAATATTTGCCACGATTTTTTACGTATTACTAAAGCTAAAATCAAAATATTGAATACAAATCATTGACCAACCAGGCTTACGTTGCATTATTTCATGAAATTAAAGTATACTAGCAACAAAGTGATAATTAATCCGAATATTTTTTGAAACTTTTCAAAAATTTTCCAAATCTGAAGAACATGAGTTAGCTGTTCGTCCTTTTAGAGTAAGCTTGCAAGGACCATGCCAGCTTGATTTAACATATTTTCCAATGGATACTCAACAATGCAATCTTATATTCGAGGTATCATCAATCAATATTATCTCGTATTTTTCAGTTTCTTAAATCAGATTAATTTTTTAACTAAAATTTTATTCATTTTTTTACATTAATAATGTCATAAACTCAATTATATATATTTTTAATATAATAAACATTACGTCCACATAAGAGAAAATCCGATATCTCAACATAAATGTCAACTTAATTAGGCGTAAAATTTTTAGTTTATTTTTTAAATATCTTTAATAAACATTAAAATATGTGATATTTGAATCTATATATTAGACTGACAAATAATAAAATCTTGACGGATAAAAGCAACAAACATTTTTGATTTCAGAGTTATTCATATAATACCGCAGACGTGAGAATAATTTGGCGTGACTGGGACGCAGTATCCATACCTGACCCAAGAAGCAAATATTTACCTGATTTCGTCCTTATCAAAACCGAAAATAAAAACACAACACTTCTCTATACGGCTGGTTTATGGGATCAGCTAGAAGTCGTTTTTATTTTTCGTCGTCTTTACGGATACTATATTTTACAGGTGAATAAGTACAGTGATCTTTTTACAATATTATTGATAAATATTTGAATACATAAAACTGTATGATTTGATTTTCAATATAAATCAAAACTTTAATAATTAAATTATATACAGATAGACTATCGAATATAGTGATAGTCTAATTGTAACTGATTATGTTTTTCTATTTATATACAAAATTATTATATCCAAATTGTTGTATTAATAATATTTTACAGCACTAAGGGCTAAAATATAAATAAACGAAGTTTTCATAGGCTTACATGCCAACTTATCTGTCAGTATTCATTTCGTGGATAGCTTTTTGGATTGATACAAAAGCATTGCCAGCACGAATTACTCTCGGTGTAAGCTCATTGATGGCATTAACGTTTCAGTTTGGTAATATAGTTAAAAACCTCCCCCGTGTATCATACGTAAAGGTAAAAAAACTTTTTATATTTGCTTGCATAAGACAATTTTTACTAATATTTATTAGATAGAGAGCTCATAATACTTATTATTTCTATGCGTTCATCTCGTATCTTACAAAATAATTATCGATAACATGAAAATTACTTTACTACACGTTACGTTTCACTTAGTAAATAAACACAACTTTAAATTCCTGCATAAAGCTATCCTTAAACATTAAGCTCAATTTTATCACTGTAAAGTTTTACCTCTCAACATGAAATACCTTTCGAAAAATTCAATATTACATTCTGACCGCTAAACATAGAATATATTCTTGGAAACTTTCATATTTATTTCGTTTAGGCACTAGACGTATGGATGTTTGGCTGTGTTGGATTCATTTTCTTATCTCTTGTCGAGGTGAATTTTTTATCAATCATGATAACGTGGTGTTTCACCACAAAGTATACGCTGCCTTTTCTATCCTTTCATTTTAAAAATAAAATTATATTTAAATAATTCCTCCAAATACTATCATTAGCAGTCAGCCCGGTACATTCATTTACGCAACTAATCCTCGAATTGCATGAATTACGAGCACTTTTCATGCTATAAATAACGTCGCCAGAGATCAATAAACGTATGTCTTCACTCAATCATTAGCAGAATAAAAATTACATTAGTATGTACGAATTTTGCAGTTAGCAGTTGTTGGATATGTTGATAAAGTGGATATGAGAAAAAGACGACGTGCACGAATCCGAGAACTCGATTTTCAAACCTACAACGAACCTTGGATAGTAAAGAACGACACCCGTATGACGAATTCCAGAATTTCATTATCGAGTATGAGTAGGTTTATCCTTCAATTTTTAGTCGTTAAAAGTTTTTAATATTTGTTTGCAAATTTATAATATTCGCGTTTTATTCAGATGAAAGAATATTTTTTAGATAGTCCAGTAAAAGCTCTGCAGATGAATGCACCACTTGTGTACCTTAATTCAGATGAGCAGAATATAACGGCTGATAATACCACTGCACCAACATTTAGGCGAATGAGACAGAAAGGTCATTTCAATCGCCATACAAATTTTACAAAACTGAAGAGAACTGATGGAGAAAAAATTGATGAGGTTAAGCTCTTTTCAAACTTACTCAAAATTATCACTAGCAATACTTATCGAAAACCATATTTTGGATAAGGTTTTCTCTCAGAAATTAAATATTCTATAAAATTAATGACTTTTCAAAATAAACCAAGTGATACGATATAGTATTATATCATTATATTATGACATCGGATTACTGATGTTCACCGATATTGCAGTACTCTATACAACGATCGTTTTTTTCAGATATCTGGTAAAACCTTCCCGTTGCTCTTCATCGCATTTAATATTTTTTACTGGTATTATTATATTGGTTTATCTGGAAAACTCTTATAATTATTTTTTGTATATAAATTCACAATTTTTCCAGCTGACCACATTGAAAGTGAAATATAAATTAAAAGCAGAAAAATCGAAACCAGAACAGGTGTAAAGAATCGTATTTGCTTTCTCAGCAGCAAACATGAATCACGTCTTATATGTACATACTTCATTCTTTATCATCGGATACATACAGCCTGAAAATTAGAAAACTGTTATTAAAATATTGAAAAACAAACACCGAATAGTATTGACGCAGATTATTAAACAAAAAAGCGAATACAAAAAATAAATTAATTAGGAAACTTAAAAAATTCACAGCAATTGATTTTGTAAATGTTTAAGGTAAGATCAAGATCTTAATTTTGAAGAACTATTTTGCAATCAAAAATTGTGATGTTGTACAAAAATATTGTGCAAAGATTAAAAATAAATATTACAGAAAGTTTATCAATAAAACTCAAAACAAACAAGTGATTGCATACTGATGAAAGTTCATATACTTGGCGCTATTACCTAAACACGAACAAACCATCATAACATTAACGATTTATTGAATACACACAATATGAAAGAAGTTTGAACTAAAACTTCCAATCAGACCACGTCATTCAGCTACCAAATAAATTGCGGCTCATCAATGTTCCAAAATGAAACTGTTATTCTCAATCACACTGCTGAAATCGAGAATGTCTCAGATTCAAAAGACTAAAAAAATCTTCCAATCTAAAATTGATTACACTTCACGCGAAAAAAAAATCATTGCAACTAAATTTGAATATTTTTGCGAGTTTTTAGCTTTTAATTGATGATTTTTTAATTTTACTCATTTGCAAAATCATCCATTTATTCAAAATTAATTCTGATTTAGGAATTGTTTTCTATTAAACCTAGCAACCAAAGCAAAATCAATATGAAATTGTTATTACAGGCTAAGTATGTCTGAAGTAATGTATATTGAATTAAAACGGAAAGACTTGTTGAGAATAAAAATAGCTATTGAAGCCAGTTACTAGGAAACAACGATGAAATTATAAAGACTTTGTACTGAATACGAAAAAAAAACCTAAAATTGTAAATAAGTAGATTCTAATCGTTGAGAAATTCAGAAATTATTGCAATGATGCTATATGAAAAACCATTGGTGGCTTTAATTCTCAAAACATCGAATACGAAATTTGATCATATATCTAAGTTCAAAAGGTTAATACAGAAGGAATAAGTTGTCCACTAACAGCATGGGACACTTTAAGAGAGGCACTGATATCAACTGAGATATTTGAAATTGGTATTATTCGGAATAATTTTTGAAAATAATTGCTTTAAATTGAATTATAAAGTAAACAATAATTACATGGCACATGTACACACTAAAAAAAATTATACAGATGTGCGCGGATATGCAAAAAATTTAAATTTCGTTGTTATTTTCAATTGAAATACAAATACGCTTTAAAACTCAAATAATTGGACTGGTAAATGACAATAAAAAGTATTAATTCATTAATATTAAATCCCATTTTATCTTTTATTATGAATTTCTATTAAACCTGGCAAGCAAAGCAAAATCAATATGGAATTATTAGCATCTAAGCAATGTTTCTTGTAAGCTTAGCATTCTTAGCATCTAAGCAATGTTTTTTGTAAACTAAGAAAGTCAGTAGGATTTATCTCTAAATTCTTATTCAAATTATAACAGTTCCCACAGTATCACATTAAAGGCATTAGCTAATCATTTATTTGCAGTAAATTTTTCTGACTAATCATTCGATCTTAATTGCTTATTAATTATTTCTTTCATAAGCGCAGAAAGCATGAAGTTAACAATATATTCAAGTAAGTAATAACAGACGCAAAAAATTTGTTCACTAATAATATCGACCTAGAAAAGTAAAAAAACAAAAAAATTGCAGCAATACAAAACAACAAAGTAGCATATTTCAACTTATTGGATTTTCTTTGATTCTAAAAATGGATTGTGGATTGATATTTGCTTAATAACAGACTGATATTGCATTTCGGAACTGTTATGCTTAGTTGCTTCATACGAACACAGTTTCCTGAAAATTCACATATGTAACACGGAAAACAGAAAATATGTAATCTTAGACGGGAAAGATGCATCAACTGATATTCCTTTCAAAACAAGCAAATCCATCCAACTTCAGATTCAGTTCAATATCTTCACATTCCATTACATACTTTTTCATTTTTGCAATATCTACCAGAATCCTCTCAAGCGAAATCTAAGTATTACAAATACCACAAATTTCAAAAATAAAATGGAGGACGGAAGGAGGAAACCCGCATCTGAAATCACTACAGAGAACAATAGGAAACGAGAACAGATGAGGTTGTGAACCGATCCATGAAAGCTGTAGATAAGAACCCAATTCATTCCAATTTCTTACCACTGCTCTCAAGCGAAACCCGAAGTACTACAAGCACAGACAAAGTAAGATACTGATATTCACTCTGACAGTGCTAGAACTTTCTTCTTATCCATGACTCTAACCATAAAACTGACTAAACTGAACAACTGATCCTCAGTCCATATAAACATTATCAGCATGCTAACTGCAAACAACTGCAAGCTGGAAGCTAAGGAATGACTTCACTTCAGAACTGAAATTCTTATATTGTATGTCACGACGATCAACAGATGTTGATAATTCGAAGAAAAAATTGTTGGGACTATACAGATTTATTTACAAGAAAAAATATTTACACAAATAAGGTAGTGAAAATAACACGTTATATCCATAAAAATTATACAATCAAAGGCAATAACAGTAACAATTCAAAACCATATACATACTTTTGAACAGCAACTGAATCAGAATGACATTACAAAGTTTACAGTTCATATACATATTATATACAAATAAACCATAAACGATAAATCTCCAAGTTTAACCAGTGATAACAAGTATTCCCAATTCTGATCCTTTCCTGTAACGCAGCTTCTTTCTCAAAAATTTCCGAATGTGTCAAATTAATTATATTTCCAAGTATTGAGTGAGTAGGAAACTCGAAGTGTTTTATACATGAAGTGCGCTTAGCTCACAGAGCATTTAAAATCGCTTTCCTTCCGAAAGCGATCAAACTAATTGACAAAATCCTTTTCCTCTTCATGTATACCACGAGTTAACTTCTTGTCCGGAGGAAACAAGTATGATCCTTAGAAATCCAAAACTTTCCTTGCAGCCATCGCATCCAGATGGCTTTCCTTCCACGTCTTAAAAACCTTCCTTAATACGCGCTTTTCCTTTAACATTTCAGCCGAACTTAACGTCTGCCAGGCGTATTCATTCATAATGAACCACTTATCTTCATGAATCCCTCCATATTTTGCCAGCAATAACAGGGCTTTTCACCCGTATGTGTGCACGCCAATCAACCACTTGCGGAAAAGCTGCTGGCAGCAACCTTTAACCCAAATGGAATGAGTGGTGAGCTACTTGAAAACCAACTTTGCTTTATGGCTCGACTCCAAAAAAATATGTGCTCTATCCACTCGCATCCTTTTCTATTCTGCAATTCATCATAGATATTACCATAATAATTATGATTATACTTATGTTATTGAATCCTTATTACATTTTTGCAATAAACAAAAAATCTCTAGCTTAAAGAACATGCATGATGAAAACAAACCTTTTTATGCGATGTTCTTTGGGCTGAAAAGGCTGCTGCTCATTGATAGCCAAGTCAGTCCTTAAAAAATATTGCGCTTCATACAGTACGTATTGTAATCCCGCACGTGTATGCTAAAATGTGATAAGTACAAAGTTCACTCCATCAACTTTATTACAAGATTAACAATATCTCAAAGTTGATTTTATTAACGCTATTACTTTCATGAAACCATTTCGATTCTTAAAAGTTCTAATAAAAACGCTTATTTTAATAAATACTCGCAGTAATTCTCTTAATATTAATGCATTTTCAGTTTGGAAAAGAAATCAAGCAAGTTACTGCAAGCACACAAAATACATAAACCAACCAAACAACTTGCTATCGACTATAGTCTGAGAAAATTATTTTTTTACAAACGTAACAAAATATTTCGTGACAGAACTCAAATCCAGACATAAAGCTGTAAAGCTAATAAAAAAGATTTGAAAACTTTTTTCTTTTTAATTTTCACTATTATTTTTGCTTTTAATTTTATTTATTTCTTAATAATCATTTCCTATTAAATTTTTATCACCTAATTTATATCATTGCTGTATTATTTTTCTATATTATTTTTATTGTATGACTTTAAATGTATTACTTCATTTTTTATATTTTCATCGTTAAATTAGTCATTTTTTATTGCAAGTTGATTTATCAAAATTAGAAACATACTCATGTTTGATGCACACAAAATGTTTTAAAAAATAATATAATAATTAATTAATTAATTAATGCTAAAAAGTATAATTCATTCAATGATTATATCATCTAAAATGCTACTGATTTGCTAATTTGCGATGATATAAACAATTAAAAATTATAAATTGAAAATGAAACGAAATCAATTCCTGTCAGCTAGCTTTTTTATGGTATGAAACTAATTAATTTTTTCTTTAATAACACTCAAATTAAATGGCATTAACAAGTTTTGCGCTTTTTTACTCAGAAAATTAGCTTTTTTAACTTTTTACGGCATGAAATTAAGCAAGTTTTTTAGTAAAGTTAGCAATAAAACTTTGATAAAACCTAAAAGTAATAAAATATAATTTAACCAAGATACTAAAAATATTACAAATAGATTATTATTGTTTTAATGAAAAGATTACGCAAAAATACAAATGTTTGATATGCTTAATGTTTATGTCACAATTTTTTGACACATTTTATGCAAATTTATCAAAATTTAAGTACAAATATATTTATTTAATTTAAATGCAAATAATTTATTTATATAAAATATACAGTTTACAGCTCTCAAGTGTGTTTAATATATTTTTAATTTCCATGCAAGTAATATATTTAATTTAAATGCAAGTAAATACAATATACAATTTACTCCGTTTAAGTAATCTTTGCTAAAATATACAACACAAAAAAGGCGTTAATTATACTTTTAATCTTTGCTTACTAAAGAATGAATAAAATTCAGTAATCTAAAATATTATAATTTTAAATCAAAACTTGAAAATCAATCATTTTTAATCGTAAAGTAAAACAAATGCATTGCATTTGAAGAATGTGTATGAAACTTGCATGCTTTGAGAAAATTACTATATTTTTATGAATAAAAAATAAGTCTCCGAAAATATCGGATAAAATTCAAAGAGTAAAAGTATGCTAAAAAAGGAATAATTAAAAAATAGACATGTATTATTAAACAAAATTAAGGGTATAACACATTTTGTGAAAATAAGCTTTGCTATTGGCTCTTTTGGAAATATTTTACAGTATATTATCTATAATCTTTGAACAAAGTTATGAGTGTTCAGAGTATTGTTGATTAGTTTTTAATTTAAATCTTATCTTAAAAATTATTGCTTTTCAAATGATAACACATTTTTGTGCATCAGTTATTAATAGGAAACTAAATATCAGAATAGAATTAGTAACAGATAAGAAAATCGCCTTGAACCAGTGAATTACAGGAATTTGAACAATGTATCCATATCAATGGATCAGAAAAAATCACTCGTCTTAGAATTTTGCTGTATTATTCTGTCCTAAGTTTCAATCTAGTTGGGGTAATATAATCTTATATTCTTGTTCACAAAATCCAGGACCTTCGGCTGGTTGCGCAGGATATCCTTGTTGTGCCATCCGACACTGCATTTCATACAATCTGAAAAGATTAATCTTTATTCGCATAATTTTTCTTAGTCATATTCTTTAATTTTAAAAACTTAAGTACTTTGAAATATCTCGAATTATAGATTGTTAATATTTTATGCTAATTTTTTATTTGCTTCCAATTTTAAGCTCAATAAATGAGCTTTGTCAAATTAGTAATTGCATTTTTTAAAATTATTTGTTAAATAACTGATCATTGATAATTATTTTGCACAGATATTTTAAATATATTTTTATATTTTTGTAACCAAAATAAATGTAATATTGAGTTTAATACATAAAATTGCTGTAGTTATCAAAAAATTGTTCCTTGAAAATCACAATATTTGGCGAGTTTGTAAATAAAATAACCTAGGCCAAGCTTCAGCAATACTTTTTGTTTTGGCAGAACTCCATAGTCGTTCTGCAACCGCGGAAGCACGAGGCCACAACCTTGACATGACATTACTTTCATCTACCCATTCACCCCAGAGTGCCGCTTCTCCACCTAATACAAGTGATTTCTGAATTCCGGTTCCATTGAAATTCTATAAATACATTTGTGAATCAATTTTTTCATCTTATTGATTAATAAATGTTGAACTATTAAAAAAATTAAATAAAAGTCTTTTGCAAATTTTAGCATAGTTAACGACAAGTTTAAAAAAATCTAACAAATATTTTTTCTTAATAGAATATAAATAGTATAATTATTCTTATTCAAGTATCAAAATTATAATTTAAAAAGTGGCAAACTTGTGGGTCACAGAGATAATATTTCTTCCAATCAGCAAAAGTTGAAATTAGATCCAAGTACCAACAAGCTGATAAGATGGCGTAATATCCACGCTTAGTTGCATCAATTATATCATTATTATTCTTCCAAATGTGAGCTATTAGGCCAGAATCTAACAGATTATTCTCTGATCCAGTTGTTTGCTTTAATGCTTCCTAGAAAATAATAAATTACATTTGTTGCCATGACAAATTAATTTGCATAAATATGATAATTTTTGAGTACAAGAATTCTGTATTTTGAATTTACTTGCAAATAACATCCAAAAGTTATAGGTATGAGCAAATTCTTAGTCTAAGACTAATCTAACCTGCCAGACCAGAAATTTCTTTTTATTTCCTGATTTTAAATTATGAAGGAGCGCAAAGAATTTTTTGAAATACCAAGTTTGGAGATCGAAACCATTTGTCATATTATAAATCTAAAATACTATATATATTTGCACTGGTATGATTAGACTGATAAATTTAGTACATCAAGATAAGTACTTATTCAAGCAAATATACGCAGTTTTTAAAATCATTTTATAAATTTGTTTGTAAAAAAACTTTCAAATATATTAAAAAAATGTTGCCTTCATAAAGTCTTTAATAACGGGATTCTGAATCCAGCACTCGTTAATCCACATGTCTACTTCATCACCACCAAGATGAATATAGTTGTCTGGAAATATTGTAAACACTTCCTGAAATATATAATAATTAAGCACATTTTAATAATTGAAAGTACTGAAAAATGTCATTGCTAGAAAAAGAACCTGAAAAAGTGCTGCTAACAAATCCCAAGTTTCTGAATTTGTAGGATCTAATAAATTCTGGAATCCTTGATATACTGAACCATTTGAATGATAACATGTTGCTAAAATAGTGCTGAAATTAAATCCCCAAGATTTCATGTGTCCTGGAGTATCAAATTCTGCTATTACTCGTATACCTCGTAATCTGGCGAACTCGATTATTTCCTAAAAGCAAATTATGATATTTTAATTTGAAAAATTTTGAAAAGTCTCATCAAAATTGTAGCCTCAAATGACTTAACAAAAATGTTTGTATGATGGGACTGTTATACAGAGTATTCTAAATTATTTAAAAAACTTGAATACAAAATACAAAGCCTTAATAGCCAAATTTTGGAAAAAATTATTCAAAAACATAATTATTCGAATTCAAAATCACTTTGAGACTGTAAAATGTCTAAAATTAGCTTATTGATAATTTTTGTAACTTTTATTCATTTTCTTTACTAAACATGCTACTTTAATATGAAAAATATAGATACAAATCATGTTTTCTAGTTCTGATCGATGATTAAATCATATTTTCTAGTTCAGATCGATGATCCAAAATGAATCAGATGACACTTTGTATCTCAAATCTTGGCACTTTTAACAAAAATTTGTAAAATTTCTGCAATTAAAACCTTAATTTGAGAAATATTGTAGACATGTTGAGGAGTATAAGCTCCTTTGACCAATTCTGGAATTACTTCTGATTTGAATGGAAACGATTCTGTATCAACAATATGCCAATGAAATGTGTTGAATTTATTTTGTGCCATCAATTCAATATTTGCTTTTATTACGTTTACTGATAAATAATGTCTAAAATATCAATTAAAATTAATCTTATTTAAAAATAAATTGAAAATTAAGAAAGAAAACATATTAATCAGTTACATTTATTAATAATATGATGGGATTTAATTCAAATGAAACTATTT